TCGCGCAATAATGTTGTAATATTGCCACTATGTTGCCATACGATAGTTACATTGTAACATTGCAGCAATATTTCAGTGATATTGTAATATTCCAGTGATATTGTCTGATATATCGCTCATCTGTTAAGTCAAAACGCAAATATTTTCGGTAATAATAGCTTCAGAATCATAAATTTTATAAGATTTGTAAGATGCTATAAACCATAATTGCTAAAAAGTTTTTATTAAAATCAGTATCTTATCATTATCATTTTTATAATAAAAACACAGATGTAATATTAACGTGTATATATATATAAAACAATTTTCAATAATAGAAATATAAATATAATGATAGCATAAAGAGTAATGTTTATAGAAGTTCTCAATAAGAACTTTTCGCAAATCGAAAAAATTTTATGTCTTATTCAGTAAAGGATTCTGAAACTGAGTGCAGCAACCGTCAATAGCGTGACTATAAACTTTGAGCTAACAGATATTAAAGAAATCGCTAATAATTCTTTTCGGGAATAATTTTTTTAAGAGCTTTTGGGTAAGCTTTTTACAATTTGACCATTTAGATCTAAACAAAACGGCGTATTTTCTTCAGTCTGTCTTTTATGAAAATCATTGATTTCTTAAAAAAAATTGTTATTTTATACCGGAAACTACAAAGATCGCGTTATTAACATTTGTACCTTAAAAATATATGGGTAAATTTTTTTCTAAATTTTTTTTCAATATGGCGGACTCAACATTGCAGCCGAAATCACGAATTTCATCTTATATCGATTTTTCTAACGTTTTTTCACTTTATAATGCTGATTTATTCAATCTGTCTGATATATCACTTCGCAACATTGTTATAATATTCCTGCGATATTGTAGATTGATATATCACATTGAAATATTACTGCGATACTCAGAAATATTACGTAGTGGTCTATCATGCTGGAATATAGCGGCAATATTCTTATGATATTGCAATGCGATTTATCATCGCGCAATATTGTTGTAATATTGTCACTATGTTGCCATATAATAGTCACGTTGTAACATTGCAGTAATATTTCACTGATATTGTAATCTGATATATCATTCTACAATATTGTTATAATATTCCTGCGATATTGTAGATTGATATATCACATTGAAGTATTACTGCGATATTCAGAAATATTACGTAGCGGTCTATCATGCTGGAATATAGCGGCAATATTCTTGTGATATTGCAATGAGATTTATCATTGCGCAATATTGTCGTAATATTGTCACTATGTTGCCATACGATAGTCACATTGTAACATTGCAGTAATATTCCAGTGATATTGTAATCTGATATATCACTCTGTAATATTGTGATAATATTGCTGGAATATTATATAATAATCTTGTGATTTTGTAATATTGCTACGATATTATAATATTGTTTCAATATTGCTGCAATATTGCAGTGCTATGTGGGACAGAATCGTAACTATCGTAATGCTGCTTAATTCTCTTAATTAAGTTCGTATTCTACCTTTTTCGGATGTCCTCCGGAGTATAAGACTTACATCGGATGATTTTTGTCTGTTCTGTGTTCCCTCATTTCCATTTAATACTGGAGTATTCATTTCATCTGAGTCTGTATTATTATAATATGTCCCACCGCGTGTATTTCATTTCTCGCCTTTCGTCGTGAGTCACTGCGCAGGCGTGCTCCACAGGCGGAGCAGTGACTCTCATTCTTCTCGAGTCGGGATGCGTTCCGAAAGTTGCAAAAAAACGGTCACAAACCTTTATGCTCGCGAGTGTACCACATGTGGCACAATTAAGTCAACGGCACACGATGCTTGTTTTCGTGCTGGATTGCATGCTGAATGAAAATACTGCGTTCTGATTAGTACATTTCCGAAGATGTGTGGAAATGTACCAATCAGAACGCAGTATTTTCATCCAGCAAGCAATTCAACACAAAACAAGCACTGTGTGCCGTGTGCCGCTGGCTTTAAAGGTCAGTGGCATACAGGCACAATTTAATGATTTGGTGGTACATTATGCATTTCTTGTGGCACAAAAGAAGAAAAAGTGATATAATTCCATTTTTAAGTGAAAGTTTTAAATCTTTGGATTCTATGACAAACATATCGCATTCTACAAGCAGGAGTATATAGTATAACCATGTATTTAGTATAACCATGTATTGGTTATATTAGTATAACCAATATTATACTAATATAACCAATAAAGTGGCATTTAAATTATTTGGAGTGCGTTCGGAACTTGCACATTACGGATAAAGTAACTAGCATCGGATTAACCAATAAGAATAAAAAGAGCAAATATCTTTTTATCATGATTGGTTAATTCGATTATTCTACATTCAGGGCCGTATTCATAGTCGGATCTTATATTTAACACCATCTTGAGTTCACGTTCAGATATTCTGTAGCCAAATTCTGTATCCAATATATTTATATATATATATGGCAATATATATATATATATATATATATATATATATATAGGATATATATAAATATAAAGGATAGAATAAATTTAGCATAAGATTTATTTAATTACGTGGCTGAACAACGTTTATTTTGCTCATATTTCTTATTTCAGTTCTTATCAGATGTTTTCGATTTTGTCAGGCACAATTTCTTCTGATTCGTTTTCAGTTACAAAAATTTTAAGTTTCTAAATATTCCTATTCTTTCCCTTTTTTTATTTATTAAATGCATAGGATAAAGAAGCATCAAGCACGTAAAGATTTTTTTACTTTTTTATGTAATTAATAACATGAAAGTTTTAATTTTTCTCTGTCAATGTTTTGAGAGGCTTTTTATATTTGTTTTAATATTCTCTTTACCATCTCTCTATTTTTGTTTTTCTATTTTTTATACCAGATCTTCTACTTTTAACTGTATATTCTCTCATGATGTATAATGGAAGATCATGCGGATCTTTATTTGAAGATGACATTATCTGAAGAGAATGTTTTTTATAAATATGATTTTTTAAGTAAAGAGAGAGAGAGAGGAGAAAAGAAACAACAAAGTAAATTTTAATAACATTTTATGTACATACCCTGTCGCAAGCACGTAATTAGATAGCATTTACCTAGATATATAGTAAACATAGTAAAATTATACTAGATTGTAATATTATATTAGCTATATTATATAATGAATTTTGTAAAATTTTACAACATATAAAATAAGTTATGCTACTTTTACACATACAGAGTGATTCGTTGATATATGGATTGTCCATCCGTCGTACTAAACTGTATGTTGATGAAACACCGTGTACAAAATATTAAAATTGCTTTAAACAAATTTATTGTAAATCTTTGTAATACCTACCCTAAAATAATCCACCAAATGAATTATATATATATGTGTATGTGTATGTATAAGTATATATATAGATCGTAAAGGAGGCACCGCTAAAAAGCAAAATTTCGTGCCCTATTTCTGCTGCATTTCTGCCGTTGTGTTTCAACGACACGTCGTAAACGATTTTTGCTGTGTTTCTGTCGTCGTATTTGAATTGCACGTCGTGAACGATTTCTGCAGTGTTTCTGCTGTTACGTTCGAACGACGCGTCGTGATCGACTTCTGCCTTATTTCTCCTATCACAAGATATTACCCATTCAGCTTGATTTCTAACTGCTTGCTGTTCGCACGATGTAAGGTCATTCTATATTCAATTTTGTGCTGCTGCTATTGGACATACTATTTCAGCATACAGTGCTTAAATTTTTATCTTGCTATGGTGACATATTGTACCTGATTTTTGCGGTAATTTTGCTTTCATATCATGATGCATTTTCTGTTATATTTCTGTTTCACTTTTGCGTATATTGTCTGACATTGCAGATCATGCTTTATTAATGCTACAATTATAACAGCATGACTTGCGGCACACATTTAGCAAAACCTGACATTAGCAGGCTTGGCTATCTGGGAATGAAGGCAAAAAAGAAACAAAACGAAGTAGAATTTGAATTAAAGAAAAAAAGTTTAGAATTAGACATACAACTAAAGCAAGCACAGTTGAGAAAATTGCAAAGTTCCCTTTTTCAATAATCCTTTTTTTGATATATTTTTTAAAAGACTGATACCAGGTGTGACAAAATATTATTAACAGTTATTAACTGGTGATCTTCCACCAGTTTCCATGACACTTTATCTGTTTCTTTTTTCAATTCTATTATATTTTTGTATTTGGTAATAATTTAAATAAAATGTGATATTAGCTTAAAGTTATATAAAAATATATATTACAAAATATATATTACATACATGAAAATATATATTATACAAATATGTTTAGTTTTAAAAAAGTGTTTAGTTTTAAAAAATGTTTAGTTTTAAAAAAGTGATGCTAAAGAATTTCTAGTACAAATAATATTATTCTTTTATTATTTGTTATTATTTTGTGTTATTATTTTGTTATTATTTTGTCAAAGAACAATATTATTTTTATGTGATAAATGTGCAATAAAAAATATGTTCGTAAGTAAAGAAATGTGATATTACAAAACCAATTTTTCATATTTTATATGTGTTTTATATAAGTAATACTATTATTTATTACATACAACAGTAATATAATTATTTATTACATGAGTAATGCAGTAATTTATTATAAAAGTAATATAAATATTTTTAATATATTAAATATATTGTATATTATAGCATATTAATTAAGTTGTTAAAATATTCATTAAAATATTAATTAAAATATTACGTGCTAGTAGACCATTTCCTACTTTATTTTGAGAATGAGGAAAGTTTATTACATTATTATCTACGATAATATTTTCTAAAATATTTGGATCTTCATCATCAGTAGGAGCCCAGCAAACACAATATTACATGTAACATGCATGTTAGTTGTAATTTCCTATTCAACAATATAACTGTTATATAACACATGTGTTATATAACTATTGCTGGGAGGCATGTCTTCCCCTCGACGTTGTGCTATATTATGCAATACAGCAGTTGCTATTATTATTGTCATTACTGTTTTGACCTTTAAACGACTTCCATATGCTAATATTGGAAATCTACGTTTCCAAATACCAAATGTTGTTCTACTACGGTCCTTGTTCGAATTTGTGACTCGTTATATAATTGTTGGGCACGACCTTCAGGATTTAATAACAGTGTAAATAAATAAGGTTTTGCAGGATATGCACTATCATCTGAAACAGTATGTTTAACTATAATAGTATGAACAAATACTTAACACGTCCGCGACAATCAATAAATCCATTGGTTCACTCTAAAGGACGCACAATTTATTTTTTAATATATTGCTTCTTTGCATTTGTTTTATAACAAAAGGCTTTGCTTTCATCTTATTCAATACAATGCTTCACAGAGTATGACCCACCGGTGGACACGCACGTCTATTAATATAAACTAGTATGACTCACCAGTGGGTCACGATGTCACGAACGTGTTAATTATGATAAAATAGTTATACACACGCATGCACGCACGCACGCATGCACGCACACACAATTATGTAATAACATAAATAACATAATAGGATATACATTATTTTATCGCTAAAATCATACATATCATATATATCCAATAACAAGCAGTTGTGAAAATGGCGTATTTCAAATAGTATTCTTAAATTTTCTGAAAAATTGTTGAATCATGAACTGAACCTGGCCATCGAACTACGATGTCAATTATTTCTTTATTGGCACTGGCCACAACTTGTACATTTAATGAAAAATATGATTTTCTATTTTGAAATATTTCTGCATCATCACCACCCCAGTAAGCAAAATGCTAGCAGAATGCGCGCAGATTGACACCAATTTCGACCAGATCTCCACATCAAAACCATAGCCATCTGTGTCCTCATTAGGCTCGTGTTTTGTCGACAGGACCTGTGCGACAGGCCGTGCGAGCAGATTGTCAGCAGAAACCGCGCAGGTCCTGCTGCCAAACTACGCGTAGAGTCTGCGCGCAGAGTTTGCTCGATTTCTGCCGCTAATCTGCCATCAAATTACTGCAAGTCTTGCGCGGTTTTTGGTACAAATCTGCCATCAAATATCCGACAGCAGGATCTGGCGCATAGTTGACCGCAGATTGGCAGCATAATTTGATATAACAGATTCTGCGTTGAATTTGTTGCCTATTTGCCACCAAACTATGATAGCAGGCTTTGTTCGAAATCTGCTCGCGCAGGTTTGGCTATCTGGGACCTATTTGCAAATTTCATAAACACTGTGATACGATTTCTGCTCGCCGTCGGCAAACTGCCGTCGGTCCACGCGCCCCGGCCGTTCGCACTTACACCAAAGTGGTTGGGTGCCAGGTGCAGCGGGCTGCACCGATCACCAACACGAAACGACACACCACCAAAGGGCCGAGACACGCGAATTCGACGGGACCGGTAGCTCCTCAGTATTTAGAGTCGGTAGACGGGAGGGTGCGATCGGGAATCCGGGAAGTGATCGGGAAAACACAAGAATAGCAATGCGCGTTTCGATTATCTCACTTTTTATTATTTCGGGAATCGGAACGGTCCGACCCCTCGATACGGTACATTCCGCTGTGTGCTCTCGCGAATTCGAGATTTGCTCTTCGCCGACAACTAAATCGAGACACGGTACGCACGGGACACCGAAACAGTAAAGCAGGTGGATGGTCTTACACAGTCGGGAACCTCCCGGCGGCGTGGTCCTTCGCTTTTCTTCCGCAGCTCGCTCCTACGCCACGTAGCCATCCCCGGTAACTCCCTGGGCGCGTGGAACTCCACCAAAACTTTTCCTCTCGCTCCCGGCAAACAGTATCCTTTTCGTTCGTTATCGGCACGACACTCCTTTCCGTAGCGATATATGCGATACTCCAAGCGATACTTTTCCCGTATTAGCCGACAACAGACTAACTATCCCAGAGATAAGAGAGAGCGAAAACGGGAGCTCGCTCTTTTATTTTCTCCCAAAAACAGTGTCTCTCCTTTCTTCATTGATGTGTCTCGCTACACTTCTCTCCCCGTTCCTCGTTTTATCTCCCAATACGGGAATCCTTCCGCGGATCTTTGTTGTCGATCCGCGGAACGGGTGCTCGGTCTCACTCGCGCGCGTTCTCTCTCTCGCTCGCGTTCCCGCTGTCTTTGCGCCTGGGCCGGCTTTGTCTCGCCTGCGATCACGCTTCGAGCACGGGAGCGACGATAGCCTTGCTTGAGATTCCTACGGGCCTGTGGACAACGGAAACGGCAGCGAGAATCCTTTAAGGCGATACGGGAATCGGTAATAAGAGATATAAGGAGGAGCAGTCACCTGAGGTGGCGGTCCGGGCGATGGGTGACGTCCTCTTCTCCCCTCTGGCTCCTTCGGTCTTGATGGGCGGCGCAGGAGGTCTAGGGGCACAAAGCTCGGGGACGCAGGACCGTCACACCTGCGCGCTCCTATTACCAATACCAATTAATACAGGGGGGTGGGCCAGGCGGCTACTTTCTCCCGCAACTCTCGCGCGATACTCTTTCCCCCCCCCACCGCAAAACTTCGCGTAAGGACCGAGGGTTCGCACTGTGACGGGCGCCTTCACGGCCGCCACGTCACAACACAAATACACATACATATATTTATAAAGCAATGAATATATGTCTTTTTATATATATAAATTATATATTTATAAAACATATTTAATAGTATAACATATCTGGAGATTGTATTTTTACATGTGTACAATCAATAGCACCAATTATTCTGAAATTGCAGCAATTTTGCAAAAATTTCTTTGAGCTTGTGAAATTTCTTTTCGTATTTGTGGTAACTTTATATACTAGGTGCGCAACTAAGTTTCCGGGTTTTTTTAATCATTGAAAAATGGAAAATTTCAAGAGAAATACAAAAAATGGTTTATTCAAAGTATCGTCCCTCCCTAGCTACACATTTTTGCCATCTCTCTAGCAATACATGAATACCGCGACGATAAAACGACGCGTCTTTGGACCGAAATCATTCATCCAACTAATTTGCACCTCTTCGAAATTGGCCAAGTGTTGCTCAGCCAAGCCATGCGTCTTCGACCGGAACAAGTGATAATCGAAAGAGGCCAGATCTAGCGAATACGGCGGGTGCAGTAGCAGATCCCATTTCAGCGTTTTGATGGTGTTCTGGACGATGGAAGTGCGATGGCACGGAGCGTTGTCGTGCTGCAATATCACTCATTCGTATCTCGTGTCCCATTCTGGGCGTTTTTCGAGCAATGCATGGTTCAAATATGATAGATCAGTTGTTGTCGGTAGCGATGCCCATTGACAGTTTCGCCCCGTTTCAACAGCTCATAGTACATGATTCCTTTCTGGTCCCACCAAACGCAGAGCATTGTCTCTTTTCCGAAGCGATTTGGCTGTGCCGTCAATGTTGATGCTTCGCCAGGTGAAAGCCATGATATTTTGCGTTTGAGATTCTCGAAATATATTCACTTCTCATCGCCAGTAATAATTCGATGCAGGAAACTCTTTCTTTCATGCTGCAAAAGCAAAATTTCGGGAGTGGCTCTTCGATTTTCCATTTGTCTCTCAGTCAACTCATGCGGCACCCATTTTCCTTCCTTTTGAATTTGTCTCGTGTCATGTAAACGTTTGGAAATACCTTGGCGAGTCATGTTTAATGACTCCGCAAGTTGATCTTGTATTTGCGTATCATTTTCATCCAATAACGCTTGCAGATCGGCATCCTCAATTGTTTTTGATCTTCCGGAGCACTCCTTGTCCTCAGTGTCGAAATCGCCACTTCTGAAGCGTTTAAACCAATCTTCACAGGTAGTTTTCGATGGTGCATGTTCGCCGTAGGCCTCCTCAAGCAAACGATATGCTTCAGCTGCACTTTTTTTCAAGTTAAAGCAGAAAAACAAAGCTTCCCACAAGTGCTGTTTATTTGCCACAAAACTCGACATCTTCGTTATTAAAAAAAATATTTTTGCGTTGCGATATTGTTGGTATTACGACTGGTTATTGTTAACAGATGTCCAAGCTTTTTTTTTTTTTGGTGATCCTGGAGAAACCCCTTATGGGTACCCACAGGCCCCTGGGGGGGGGCCGTGGGTTATGTCGGACTTGCATCGACTAAAACTCCAGGGGGTGCCTTCTTCAGGGGCAACGATGGCGGCCGGAAGTACTGCTTGTGTTATTCCTTTTCCTAAGCCGCCGCCCCTTTTGGCCCCACGATGTGAGACCCTTGCCCGCCTTGGGCCCCGCGCGCCACAGAGCTTGTAGGGGGCTGTAGTAAGGGGAGCCGCACGGCTAGACACGTGCATTAAATGCACGTGCCGCCTATTGCAACTACTACCGCTGCACCACACCCCCTCCCCGGTACCCAAGTAGGGGGAGCGAGCAGCGGACCCTAAGGCCATACTCGCTCGACCACCGTACCTGGGCCAGGGAGCGCCGCCCTATCGGAGGGCGCGCGGGGTTACCGGGGTCGGGCGCGTGTCTCCATCCCTTATGCTCAGGGAAGAGACGCCCGACCCCTGGCCGGCCTCACTTCAGGCCGGGGCAGGGAGGGGGGCACCCGCCCCCCCTAAACCCCACCTCTGGTGTTCGAGGTGGGGTTAGAAGCCGTGACCCGGGCCCCCACCCAGGCCACGGCTCCCCTCCTCCCCCTTCTCAAACTTGAGAAGAGGGAGGGACCCTGTCTCCGGTCTACTGACCGGAGCAGGGGGAACCGGTTTCCCCGGGTCGCGCAGCGCGCCCCGGTTGGGAACAGGGAAAGGACCCCCTCAACTTGAGGGGGACAGACTCCCCCGCCCCGCTATCCGGGATCGCCGGCGGCCTCCCATGTCGACTCGACTTCCTGTCGCCTTCAACTTGACGGCGGGCTTCCCCCCTCCAGCAAGCGAGAAACCCCGCTTGCCCTCGCTGTCGCATTTACTGCGGCAGCGGAACCCATCGATCCCCCGTTGGGAGGGCGGCCGCGACGGCGCTCCCCGCGTCTATTGCCGCCCCCACTCCGGGGTAGGGACACAAGTCCACAGGACGGTCCCACCATCCTGTGGCCCGCGTCCCTCCCCTCCTCGCGACACACAGCGCACTCCGGCCGTGCGACGCACAACCGCGCTGTGTGTCCGCCCCGGCCACACCTGTAGCACAGGCCGCTGCGATCCACAGCGGCCGTGCACCTTACTCGGGTGTGGCCGGTGTCCCAGCATCGGAAGCACTGGGGTGGCCGAGCTTCAAGCAGGGTGACGCTTACTGCTGACCACCCCAGTGCGAAGCCTCCGACCTTGGCGGCTGCCACTGCAGCCGTCAAAGGCAACCTGGCCCATACCGATCCTCTCCCTCTTGCCCCCCATCTGAGGGGACCGAGGGTAATGTCCTCCGGCCCGCAGTGC